GTTCGATGTCCAAAGTTGAGAATCTATGGATTCATGTACGTGGTTGAGACGTGAAGATGATCAGAATTTCAAAAGTGATTCGTTACAACAAATAAACAAACAGTTTAAATATTTCTGTTTATCATTTCATGTCTGAAGACGTTCATATGCAATTAAGTAAAGGAAGAAAGGAGAAGTTTGTTGAACATATATTCAAATAAAACAATAAAAAAGGAAGAACTGGATAAACATGTCTTTAGTAGCTCGATAATATTTTATTGCCCCTTAATTTACAATGAAAATATTTCGTTGATTAACAGAGAAATGTAACATAAAATATTTGACGTTTTAAAATTTCTAAAATTCAAAGGTAAACTACACATAAAGTATCTGACGTTAACTCTATTAACAACAATTACTAAAGACACCATTTATCATACTAGTTTAAAGAATATGTTTTCCACACAGAAAACAGTGTTGGTTTTTAATACCATAGAGAATAAAGCAATATGTACTCGATCATAAGTTGATCTCGACAATTTATAGAAACAATATCATAATCTACATTGTAACACAAATAAAAACAAGTTATTAAACTCCAGAATTTGATTCTCATAGATGTTCTTCATATGGTAGTTTTTAGTCCTTCTTCAATTAATGAATTTAGCTCACACGAATCAGTTGCTTCTTGAAACATGTCATTATTCGTGTTTTCCTCATAGTTTACTGATTGGCTCATGTCTTCAGTCATATTCTCGAACATACTGTTTTTATCGTGCACTGAACTCGGAGATGAAATAAAAATAGCCACGATAATTAGTACAGCCCCAACAATACTAACGACTCGAATGGAATAGTCCTGAGTAAAGAGTTGAAGGATATAACCAAACACAATGATAGAAGAGAGAGCTACACTACCTGGACCAGCTTCGACAAGTTGAAATCCTCGTGTGATAGCACGAACACCTCAACAAACCAGCTAATCCTATAGCAGTGATGTACAGATTAGTCCAGGAACAATCTGCAAATCCTAACACAGGAAGACGTTTATCGCTTATTAAACTCAAAACCCACACGAGAATCATATTTATCGTTAGAATTGTTGTAAGGAAAAGATGATCAACATTACCTAAAAGGTTATTAAAGTTGAAAGACAACGAATCCAGAATAGAGGAAGCTATTGCCGCAGCAATTCCTTTGTAATTAAAGGAAATGTGTTTGTCTGATGCAAATAAAAAACTTGGTTGAGAAATAATAGCCACTCCAAAAATACAAAGAAAGCTGGAAACAAAATTCGGCCATTTACACGAACGTTTGAATATCAAAACGGAAAATACATTAGCAAAAACTGAATTTGTAGAATAAATGGAAGTTGCGTCGCCAACAGGAAGAAGAGTGTAGGAATAATAGAGAAAAGTATCTCCTAACGCTCCAGTAAGACAACGAAGAAAAGTTAACAAAAGCGTTCTTCGCTCATAGTTGAACTTTACGTTTTTTAGGATGATCAGAGGTAAAATAATAAATATTCGGACTACTTGAGATAAGCCCATAACGTCCATAAATATCCTGTCTTTGGCCAACTGGACTAATACTCCAACGACGGCGAAGAAAAAACCAGCAGAGACAATTAGGCCAATTCCATAATATGGTCGTTCACCGTCCATTTAGATGACACCTTGAAAAAAAAATCAAAACGTTATCTTATAACCTAAGTATATTATTAGGTCGTCAATAAATTAATGTCGCTTTTTGTTAAATGAAAAAACCCGAACAACTTATATATCAAAACAAAACATTTATTATATCAAATAGTCTCCACACGTTGGAAACGATGAGCATCGGAGTGTTCATGAGGCACCCAAACACCTTCTTTATGGAGTTTTCCCATATTTCTTAGATGTTTACGTATAGTTTTATTAGAGACATGCAATTTCAGGGTCATTTCATGAGTGTGTGGCCTTAGGTTAGTCTCAACAAATGTTTCCAGAGCATAAATATCAATTCCAACATGTCGGCCCCTGCCATCACAATTTTTAAGACTAAAGTCACCTGAACGAAATTTGTTGAACCATCGTTGACACTTACGAACGTTCAAAACATTTCCGTAAACTTCTTTGATATTCTTTGAGGCTACATAGGCGTTGTGTTCCTTCTTGTATTCAAACAGCATTACATGCCGAATGTGTGTCTCGTCGTGTGCCATCACTATAAATGTTTTTTCACTGGATGCTTTGAAAGAAACCTTAACCAAATACTGAATGTATTAGGTCGACAAGAAATCAATGTCGCGTTTTGAAACATTTTCATTAACCACTCCCAAAAAATGTACATCACGTTAAACGAACTGACTAAACGTCACGTTAGTGTAGCCTATATAATGTGTAAAGTTAAGTATACTCTAATCCCTAGTTTACTAAATCTCGGTATAAGCCTACTCATACTATAATATTTGACATTTATTAGAAATCAATAAAATGTTCTCTATTCAGTGCTATCGATGTGATCTTTATAGGAAAGTTGTTGAAACTGAGTTTACTTATGAATCGGCCAAGAATGAAGTGCGTAACACATGCGCTATGCGGTAGATGATCCTGTTATATTTTCTGTATAGTGGCTATCTCTTTCAGTCTCAGTTGTATTTGTATATAATCGATATTATCTTTCTCTAGTTATGTTATGTCACTCCTCTACTTGTTGTGGTTACTATTCTTATCTCTAAAGTAGTCAGTCTGGCTTTACAAAGTGTTAATGTTAAACAGAAATAAAGAAATTCGAAACTTTATTTAGTAAATATTAATAACTATATGAAATAAAGTTATATATATATATGTTGTACGGAAAGTAATATTTTAAGTTTATTGATGTTTCTGTTTAGAGAAGTTGTGTTCTTGTAATTTAATGTTAAAATGAATTTTTATTATAATTTTTTAACCTTTACGTTATACTTTGTTAATAATTTTGAAAACGTTAGTAATTTATGCAAATGATACATTTCGACTTTTCATTATCCCTAATAAGTGGTTCATAATATTAAAAAATGGAACAGTCATGATGATAAAGAATAAATAAATAAACATGAAATCTGAAAAGAAAATCTTTCTATGTTGAAACTTTTGGATATTATAATATTTATTTATATTTATTTATATACACATATATAATCAGTTTTAAACGCTTTATTTGATAAAACTTGTACGTATACAAAACTATACATATCCACGATATTGTTGTCCGTGGAATATTCCATAGCAAGATGTAACTTGAAACTTTAGCTACATTCCCGTAGTGCTCATTAATAATTTTGAGTGATAGTTCTTTTCTAACGTTTATATTAATTTTCAAAAGAAATTCAAAATTTTAAGAAGTAATTTTCAATTTCCATTAAAAAGTATATCCAAAGAATTATCATTATTCATCATTGAAAATTATAATTATTTTTTCTTATTTAACGTTAACTATCTGATATAACGCTCCTCAAGTGGCACAGCAGTGTATCCGTGGACTTACAATGATAGAAATCGGGTTTCGATACCGGTGACGGGCAGAACAAAAATAGCCCATTGTTTAGCTTTGTGCTTAATTACAAACAAATCTGACGTAATAATTTTATACCTCCTTGATTCATAACATGTACTACCGATTTGGCCCTTACTAAAAGTGAATTTATTTTTCTTTGAAAACTAAATAAGAATCTGAATACTATAATAATAAAAGACAATATTTTCAATCGAGACCCTAAACTCGAGCGCTTTCGAATAGTTAACAATCCTTCTTCAGGAGAATAAAGGGTTATGTTTAATGAGTGTAATGAAATATATAGGCACGGATGTCGACGTCACGTAAACCGGATGTTCATTATGAGTCGGTCTTGAGAACTAGCCAATCATAACCTAGTGAGGCTCCGCATGGCCATGTAGCTAGAGATCTCGACTCGCAATCTGCTGGTCGCGGGATCAAATCCCCGTCCCATGAAACATGCTTGCCCTTTCA